AGATTAGCATTTGTCTAATTTTCCAACGCAGGAAGAAGGGCAAATGGAAACAGGAGCCCAGGAGATGGTAGGAAGAGTGCTTTTACACTGCGGAGATTGCAGCTCATGTCATTACACAATGTGTAAATAGTGTGGAAACTAATTTGTGTTGTAAACTTTAATCCAAGCCATAACAAAATATTTAAAAGAAATAAAAGTTGAAAAAAGTAAAAGGTATGGTAAGCAAATATGTTAATTTGTAAATAGATGATTCTCCCTCAGGTTTTCTCCATATTTTCTTTCCCCTTGCACCCTTTGTTTACCCATTCTTTTTTCTCTCTAAAATAAAATGATCTCCTTTCTATTCTCTTTCTTCCTCATCTCTCCCCTATTCCTGGCACACAGCTTAAAGAAATATACTGCCCAACCCACTGTCTGAGCTGATTCTGACCCCTCACAGCCATGTAGGAAGGATAGACCTGCCCCACGGGGATTTCAAGACCGTTAGTGTCTACATAGAGGCAGACTGCCACATCGTTCTGCACAGTAGCAGCTAGAGGACTCAAGCGGCCAACTGTTCTGTTAACAGCCGGCTACTTCATCACTGTGCCAGCAGCCAGACCAGGCACATTTTTCTTAGCTGTACATACTTACAAGTCTAAAGTTTTCATTAAATTATGGATATTATTGCTTATAAACATGCAATATGGATTCTACACAGCTGTTGTTTGTGGTTTTTACGTAGTTCATCAAGGCTCATCATGAAGCAGTGGTTTCTTGTGTTAAAGTGGTGTGCCATATATCACAGCTCTGCTGTTATTGTTAAGTGTCACTGAGTTGCCTCCAACTCATAGCAACCTTGACATCCAACAGAACGAGACCCCTGCCAGTCCTGTGCCATCCTCACAGTTGTTATGTTTGGGCCCATTGTTGCCCATCCAGGACCTTTCTCTGTAGATTGTATAAATTAATCTTAAGTCAAGAACCATGCTTTTAGACTTGCTAGACTTAGTGCCATTGAATTGAATTGACTAATCTGTCTTCACTAAAAAAAAAATAGTTTTATTAACATAGACTCCATATACAATTTAATTGTTCAGTCATATCAAGATTTGTGTAATCATCACCACAATCAATTTCAGGATATTTTCTTCTTGGACTCATTGTTAGCTCCCCATTCCCATACCCCCCCAACCCACCCCTACCATTCCCTTAGGTAACTTTTTCATCTAGTTATTGTCTCAATAGATTTATCTATCCTGAATTTCATATATTGAGAATTGTACAAAACAAACTGGTAGCAAGCAAACTAACAAAAAAAAACAAAAAACAGCAACAATGACTGGACAAAATTGAGGAAAAACCTCAGTGGAAAAGAAAGCAGAAAAATAGTCGAAACTGAGACTTTACAGTGGGTCAAAAGGGCGCTCAAATGATAAGGTGTTACATTTGAACTTAAGTACATCTACTACAGCCTCACCTCAGGAGCCCACAGCTCCCAGTGGCAGCAGTGGCAGTGTAGAGGGTGGTGGGTGGAACATACCCAATCACATTTCTTTCAATCCAAGCTCCCAAGGGCCCCCCCGGACCAATCTGTCTTTACACATTAACTTGCTGCAGTAGATACGTGGTTTCTAATGACAAAGCATTAACTGCTTTAGGTCTTTAAAAGCACAATCAGTTCATATAACCTAAATTGGTGTTTAAAAGTCTGTGTTCTATTATATTAATAGGAATCTATTCAAGATTATTTTTTAGTCATTCAGAAACTAAAAAGATATTCTAATGGGTTCGTTTTGTTTTTCATTATCAGAGATTTATGCACACAGTTATTTCATTCCATCTTCCCAAGACTGTTTTTGTATTTATTAGAGTCAGTATTGGTCTACTGAAGTAATTTATAAGAACCTACTCAGATCCCAACCAGAAATGTTAAAAGGGCATAAATTAAATTTTCTTTAAAAGGCAGTTAATGGTATATTAATATATGCCAGGGTTAATTTCTTTTAGCTCTGCATGAATTAGTTACCATAGCTATAGTTGAGCTTTTATGAAAGCTAGTAATACTTATTACTTTGACTCTTGATGAATGGATTTGAAAGAAATTAACCTGATTCTCAAGGAGCCCTAGCGGTGCTGCCAGGTAAGTGTTGGACCACGAAGAGTGGTTTAAAGCACCCAGCTTCCCCATGGAAGAAAGATGAGGTCACTTGTTTCCATAAAGATTTACAGCTTCTGAAAACCTACTTAGGGCTGTTATGAGTTGGAATTGATCCAGTGGTAGTAGAGTTGTGTGTGTGTGTGTGTGTGTGTGTGTGTGTGTGTGTGTGTGTGTGTATGTGTGTGTGTGTGTATGTGTGTGTGTGTGTTGGGGAGTGGGGGGTGTAATTAAGGCATAAACAATTTTGATGTACATATTAACAAAATCTTATATATCCCATTAATGAACTAATGAACTAACTAAAAAATCTTATATATCCCATTAATGAACTAATGAACTAGTCATATCAAATTTGGGTTTGGATCGTTTGAAAACCATTGATTTAAAAATACTTGACATGCATGAATGCAAATATAATTTATTTTCTTTTCAGTACGAGTTATTGAAAATGTGGGAAAGATAGAGATTATCTTGAGGAAAAGGGAGAATACTTTCTGGAAATGTCTTGGTCAACCCCTGGAGAGTCATCATTCATTCATTCCAAAGAAAGATAGAGGTAAGCTGTGCTTGGAGCCCTTTGTCAGGGAATATATCAGTAGTAAGTGTATACCACAGTTTGCAAGGCTACTTTGGGATGAGCTCAGGTGTCCTTATGTCTGTCTCTAGGGAGTTGAAAAGTATGTATGTTATTTAAAGTTTTTTCTCAGAAGTTCGTTTCTTTTTATGTAAATATAACCTATACATGGAAAAGGCACATGTTATTGTAAGGTACTACTTGATTTTCTACATGTCTTTTCTCTTTATTCTTTGGAAATTTGTAGGATTTGATCCTTGTTCCAAGTGCTTTGAAATTTCATGATATGCTTTAATGTGGGTCTGTTTTTATCCTTTTTGCAAGCATATGCTTCTAAATATGCTTAAAATATGCTTCTAAATAATTTTATTAGAAGCATATGACCTCCAATTATGGGACTTATTTTTCTTCCCTATGTGATCTATTTTGTTTTATAAAGTTATTTTTCTTATATTGCCTTAGACATAAGGCCAAGCACACATACAAAACTCCTTTGCTGATGTTTCATAGGTTTTAGAATTAGCTGCATGTATTCACTTGACCCGGTTTAAATTATTATTATAAATATTTACCAACTTAAAGAAGATAATTTACAAATAATGCTTTACTTTTAAAAAATTGGGCAGACTTAATCTGTGAACACATTATATGTACAATGCTATTTTAGACCTCTGGTATAAAAGAAAAGGCAGCAGAAATTATATTCCCAAAAGGAAAAATGAGCATGAACAAAAATGAGATTGAAGGACACACACACACACACACACATCGATAAAAAACAACAGATCAGCAAGTACTGTAGTACAAACTGAATGTGTTGTGAGTTAAGCCCCAAGTGAGCAGAGATGGGTTTAATCCTCAGTAACTGCTTAAAAGAAATGGATTTTTCAAAAGGTACATAACTTCATGTTCTCCCCTTCCATGAATCAAAAAACAAGGAGAAAAAAATATGAAGGGCTTTTCAGGTACAGCTTCAAATCATTACTGAATACTTACTGTGGGGCCAAGCACTTTTTGGGTTGTAGACAAGAAGAATTAAGAAGGAGCAAATACATCAGTGTTACCAGAGCAGGTGGTCTGAATTTTGTAGTGCTAGATAGGGATAACAGGATTAATGGTGTGATTTAGCAGATCAGAAACACATAAGAAAGATAGTGAACATAAATTTTTGTGACATTTAACAATTGTTCAGTCATAGTAAACCAGATATAAGTCCAGGTCCAAGAAATAAAAGATACCAAGACTGACCGCCATTTGAAAGAAATTCGAATGACCATAACTCAAGTGCTCTTCTCTGTAATAGGTTGATACTTTCCATGAACTCTTATCCCTGTTGTAAATGTCTCCCTGAATCCTATCCACTGGAGTCGGCATTCGCTTTTTTGTCTGAAAGTAATGCCACGCGTGTATTATTCAGATACGTAGATTAACCACTTTTGAAAATGAATCACCTTTGTTTATTTGGATGAATTAGCAAAGTTAATTTCTTCTTTTTTTAATTATGACCAAAATATGGAACAAAAAACAATTGTAAATTCTTTAATTTACTGGAAAAGCTGAATACTTACATCAGTGTTTTATGACTAACAGGCTGTCTCAAATGCTTTTTTAAAATCTGTACATTACTAAACTTTCTGACTTTTATGATGTCAAATGCTGGCTGCATCTATTCTTATAACACAAGGAAATGTAAAGTACATGAGATGAAGTCTCTATTCTTCTTTCTAAGGAGCATGTTTGTTCTGGAAATTCCTGTTACTTACAGTATTTTTCACCAGCCCCATAATTCAGCTGCACGAATTCTTCTGCAGGCTTCCTTGTTCATTCATAGGCTAGCTTTCCTGCACTGATGAGGCGATTCAGAATGTCTTGGCATGGGTCAGGCACATCTAGTTAGTCCTCAAAGCAACGTCTCACTCTTTAACGTTTTACAATGCTCTTTGTCAAATAGTAAGACTATTCACTTTCCTAGACCATGGTCACTGGGGATTCATTGGAGACTTAATCCACAAACTCAGTTACTGTCATTGAGTTGATTCCAACTCATAGCCACCCTATAGGACAGGGTAGAACTGCCCTGTGGGTTTCCGAGACTGTAACTCTTTACAGAAGTAGAAATCCCCGACTGGTGGTGTTGAACTGCTGGCCTTGTGGATCATAGCTCAATGTGTAACAACTGTGCCACCAGGACTCCTTTCCAGTCCACACAGGGACTCTGGAAATGAATTTGGGCTCCCGTTATCATCTGTAAAATTCAGTAAACCAGATGTTTAGCATTTAGATTCTGGTACCATTCCCTCCTATAGGATTGGATTTTATTGTTTTCAATCTTTGGATCACAAAGGCTGGTGTGCTTTTTCTATGTGGACTTAGTTGACACCTCCTTTAGATGAATGCTTGCTTTGAGATAAGCTTTTAAGACCCTAGACACTTTTTTTTCCAAACCAGTCACCTTCTGAGATTTTTGACCACAACTTTTGAGTTTTAATCCATACGGAAGGTTGTAGTCATGGTCCTTCATCAGAAAGTGGTTCAAGTCCTCTTTACTTTCTAAAGCAAGGTTGTGTTACATGTATATCATGGATGGCTGATGAACCTTTCTACAATTCTGATGCTGCATTCTTCCTATAGTACAACTTCTGACACTATTTGTTAAACATAGAGATTGAATCAGTATGGTGAAATAATACAGCCCTGACACACACCGTATCTGATTTTAAACCATACAGCATACTCTTGTTCTGTTTGAATTACTACCTCTTGGTCTATGTACAGGTTCCACACGAGCACAATAAATTGTTAGGGAATGCCCAGTATTCATAATGTTATCCATAATTTGTTATGATCCACACATGCAGATGCCTTTGCATAGTCCTTAAAACACAGTTAATATCTTTCTGTTATTCTCTGGTTCCAGCCATAATCCATCTGACATCAACAGTGATATCCCTTGTTCCATGTCCTCATCCAAATCAAGCCTAAATTTCTTGATGTACTGCTACAGCTGATTTTGAATTATCTTCCGCAAAATTTTCCTTGAATGATGATTTCTACATTTTGTTAGGACACTTTTCTTTGGAAATTGCCCCGTATTCTTGGCATAGACTAGTGAGAACTTGCAGTGCTGAAAACATTTCCACTGGTAGTCTGTCAATTCCTGGAGTCTTATTTATTTATTTATTTTGCTAATGCCCTCTGTGTATCTTGAACATCTGCCTTCAATACCATCCTGTTTCTTGATCTTATGCTGCTCTTGAAATCACTGAATGTCAACCAATTCTTTTAGGTATAGTGTCTGTGTATTCCTTTCATTTTCTTCTGATGCCCCCTGCATCACTCAACCCTTTCAGCATTGCCCCTCCCCGCCGTCAGAGCTTTCTGATTGAAATACACTGAGCATGTTCTTTCCTTTTGCTAATTCCAGACATTTGCACATTTTAGTATAATATTTTACTTTGTCTTTTCAAGCTGTATTTTTTCTTTTTTCAAAATTTGTTTATTTTTAACAGTTTTATTGGCACTTCAACCACATACCATACAATTCAATAGCTCAATCATATCAAGAAGAGTTGTACAATCATTATCACAGTCACTTTTAGAACATTTTATTCTTCCTTATACTAATTGTTTTTTGTGTCGTTTTTTTCATTTGTGGCAAAAATATACACAACAAAACATTCTCCAATTCAGCAACTTCCACATGTATAATTCAGTGCCATTGATTATACTCTTTGTGTTGTACAACCACTCTTAATACCCCTCTCCAGTTTGTCCCACCTCCATTGAGATAAACTCAATGACCCTTAAGCAAAAACTCCTCCTTCTCAAGGTGCCTTTGAATTTATATGTTCCGCGCTTACTTCCTTTCTTCAGTGCGCCTTAGCTCTTCTGTGTTCAAGGGCAAGCTTCAGTGTCTCTTCTGATACTACTCTAGCACTGTTGTCTATTCTTTCTTCCCTGTCTTTTTAATGATCTTTTGCTTTTTATATGTATAATGTTGTTTTTGATGACTTTTGTGTGTGTGAATTGGGTGCGTGTATGTAGGCACACGCAGTGGGCGGGGAGGGGGGATTTCAGACCATTAACTCTGCATTCAGTTCAAACCACTCATCAACATCCCACCCCACCCCCAGTGTTCTGTCCCACCCCCCTTCCCTGATTTTTCTTCCCCCTCTTGTGGATCTCCATTCTCACTTTCACCCAAGTCAGTACCTGTCAGCCTTCTAGCTCATTGCTGCATCTTCCCGGCCCTTCCATCCTGCCCTTGAGAAAACGCCCTTTGATATGCAAGCCTTTGTCTTCGTTTTTATCCTGATAATGGTCTCATACTGTATTTGTCCTTTTGTGATTGTCTAGCTTCACTCAGCAGAATGTTCTCCAGGACCGTGAATGCTGTGAGGTGTTTCATGGTCTCATAATTATTTTTTAGCAATGCATACTATCCCATTGTGTAAATGTACCACAGATTCTATATCCACTCTTCTGCTGATGAACACTTGGAAGGTTTCCAACTTCTTGCTATTGTGAATGGTGCTGCAATAAACATGGGATTAGCTATGATGTTCTTGAGTCATCATACAACTTGCTTGATCTTCAGGCGTGAGTGTTTAAAGAACCAAATGTATAGTTGAAAGGGTCTCTAAATTCTCTTGGACTTGTTTTAATTTACATCAACTTCAACCTGAACTTGCATATGAGCAATTGATGACTCTTCAGTATTGCACCTCAGTTGGCCCTTACCTGTTTAGGCTGATGACATTGACATTTTCCATTGTCTTTTCCCACAGATGGAGTCACTTAATCTGGTGGAGTCCATGTGTACACTAGCGATTTTTCTTGTTACAAAAGGGTATTTGCAATTAAAAAGTCATCGGTCTTGCAAAATTCTATCATGCAATCTAGTTTCATTCTATCACTGAGGACATATTATTTTCCAACTACTGGTACTTCCTCTTTGCTTCCATCTCTCACATTTGAATTGTCAGCCCATCTTGATGACATGTTTGATTGATTTCAGACCAAAGTTAGAATTCTTCAATTTTTTCATCATTAGCTTTAGTGGTTGTTGCATAAATTTGAATGATAGTTGGATTAACTGGTTTTCATTTGGTGTTTCATACTGTCTCATTACATACAGCATTGTACTTTAAGATGATCCTGAATTTTTTTTTTATGAATGCTACACCATTCTTCTTGTATTTGTCATTTCTGGTATAATAAACTGTATGATTTCTCTATTTGGAATGTATCATACCAATTTATTATAGCTAGGATATGTGTTGCATTTCATTTTTGAGCTTCTAATTTTCCTAGATTTATACTTTGTAATTGTGATTACTATTCATGCTTTTTAATAGCTGTTTCATTTTAATTCTGCCCAATTAGCAAATTCAGGTCCCCAAAACTTTGCTCAGTCCACAACTCTAATTTGAGGATGTAACTCTTTCCCACATGAATTTTGAGTGCCTTCAAACCTGAGGGACTCATTTTCCTGACTTATATCAGATGATGTTCTACTGCTCTTCATAGATTTACCATGGCTCATCCCTCAGAAGTGGACCACCTATTGTTTCCCTACAGTCTGTTGTTAGTCTGGAAGCTGAAACCTGTTCACCATGAGTGACCCTACTAGTATATGAAATACCAGTGGCATTGCCTCCACCTTCACAGCAGCAAGCAACCTATCATAGTACAACAAACTGACAAAGTGGGGAAATGATGACGAGAAGAGGTATGAAGTCAGACAACAAATCTTTTCATTCACAAAGTTAGGAGGGCATGTGATAGGCCTGATTAGATAAAATTGCACTTAGATGTTGGTAGAAGACACATTTGCCCTAGGCATCATCCTTAGAGGGCCCACTAGAGAATATACTGGGCCCAAAAAATGCCCACCTGGAGTTCATGCTCGCCAACACATCACTCCACATACTGGGATTCCAGAATTCCTTACTGTATGACCCCAAATCCACTTTCTGGGTTTGCATAGGTATCTTTCATAATTTACACAAGAAGTGACCTGCGTTCTTTATGGGGAAAGCTAATGAGCTCACTAGAACACAGGAGCTGGCTTGTCTGCAGGCACCCAAGACCCCACTCAGTGTTGGACAGAACGGGGGTGCAAAGAGAAAGGAGATAAGCCCTGCTCATCGGGAGTATAGCTCTTCATCCTTCTGTCCTTTGTGTCTGCCTGCGGCATTCTAAACCACAACTTAGCTTTCTAGTGCATTAGCAGCGTGTTTCAAGGTTTCACGTTTTATTTTCCATGGTGCTGTTGGATTGGTTCTAGCTCATAGTGGCCCTGTGTGCAGCAGAACAACACACCACCTTCTTCTGCACCATCTTCACCACTGTATGTTTAAGCCCAGGCTGCAGCGACTGGGTCACTCTGTCTTGTTGAGAATCTTCCTCTTTTTGCTGCCCTTCTGCTGTACCAAGAATGATGTCCTTGTTCCAGACTAGTCTCTCCTGCTAACATACATGCCCAAAAGAGGAGATGAAGTCTTATCTTCCTCGCACATACATTTGTTCTTCTGGCTGTTCTCGGTGCTTTCAATATTATTTGCCGCACCGTACTTAAAATGCATATTTTTTTTCGGTCTTTCTTATCCATTATCCAACTTTCACATGTGCATGAGATGATGGAAAAAGTTCATGGGAAAAAATCCATGATCTTTCAGTTCCACTTTTTTACAAACTTTTTGGAGCGTGTGTGTGTGTGTGTGTGTGTGTGCATGTGTATGTATGTATATATGTGGACAGCTGACCCATGAACATGTAATCAAGTTGATTTAGACTCATATCAAAACTATAACATGGATTTTCCCCCCCTGCCACCTTTGTGAGTGACCTTAAATGTTGTGACTATCTCCTTAAAATGTCCTGTGATGCTAATCATTTTCCACCTGAGCCGTTTGTTTCTCGAGCTGGAGAGGATGGAAGGGTGAGAGACTTGCAGTTAACTGGAGAAATGAATTACCCACAGGGAAATGATAAGCATCACAAGGCATTTTACGTTAACAACCAGTGTTAGTGTTGTAAGTGGTTGCTGAAAACACTTGATCTCACCCACCGTAACAGCAGGGGGAAAAACCCATGTATAACTGAGCCCAAGCACTTCAAACCTGTGCTGCTCAAGGGTCAGCTATCTAATTTGTCTTTCTGTCTCTCTCGCTCTCTGTCTCTCTCCCTCCATATTTATATACATAAAGACGTAAGAACATGTACTTTTCCTGCCTTCTTTACCAGAGTGTTATTTCTAAATTTTACTCAGTATTGTTATTACAGTCAAACTATAAATGTTTAGTTTTAGGATTTTTTTTTTCCATAGTGTAAACTTGTTGGCTTTTAAGTGATTTTCACATGTAATTCATTTATATAGATGTTATAAGGTATTAAAAGCGTATTTAAGAATAAATGAATTTGGTTTTAATTTCTTAGAACATTTTTAATGTTTTATGAGATGTGGAGAATATGACACTCATTTTATGAAATTCATTTTTCAAATTATAGAAATATATACAAGTTCTAGCTAATAGATAGCTCAGAAAATAAAATTTAAAAATGAACATTTAAGATTTTCAAAACAATCAATGAATTTTTTTTAAGCATAGGCATTTTAGTGAAAAATCAAGCTTCCTAAAGAGCAAAAGCTGAGTCTGATGCATTTGATGGGTCTGATATGATTCTGTCTTGTTTACTTGTTGTCACTAAGAGAACATGAATCTCTTTCTAGGTTTGTTCTATAGAAAGTGCCAGTTAATTGCCAAGAAAGATATTACTCATGATACTAAACTGTTCGGCTTGATGCTACCACCAAGCACTCATCTGCAGGTGCCAACGGGGCAACATGTTTACCTCAAGCTAACTATTACAGGTAAGGAAAAGAAAGCATTGGGGAATGATTTCTTCGTTTCTAAGCAGTTCAAGGTCAGTACTAATCACTTTAGGAATCAACCATTGAAGTTATTCATAAAGGTCTGGGCAGCTAGGTTTAATGATGACCAGATGCTAGCTCTGTAGACGGAGTGCATCCCTCCACATCTTGGAACTGTAGTCGTGCCACAGGACTGCAGGAAGAAGAGACATGGCCACTGTTTCGAGTGGTAGCTGCTCCCGCATTGTACTCTGTCAGTAACAGAGCCGGAAGAACAGTGGCGAAGGGGGCACAGGATGTTCTTCCTGAAGACAGACCCTGGAAACGCATCTTAGCATCTCTTCGTAGCCACGTGTGGTTGGGTTATTTGGGAAGTCGAATTTATGAAAGTCAAAGTGAATGGATGATTATAAATGATTTTTTTTACATATCCTACCAGAATAAAAAGCACTTTATAAAGACTGTGAGAATGCTTATTATATCCATCCTAACATTATCTCAGTTGTTTTAAATACCTTTCTTAATGATATCCAACATTTTCATGACCTTTTAAAGCTACAAAAGATGACATTTGCATGTCACTCATAGTGCTTTTAAAGCAATTAGTTTAACATATTAGCAACGAGGATTTGATGCAGTATCTAAACCATGGTACTGTCAAGTATGCCTCTATTATTACTACAGCCAACATTATTATTACTAGTCAACAGCTGACTGTCTTCTATAGTACATTTATTCTCAGTGTAACTTAATTTATCTATAATACTTTTGTGTATGCCACAGAACCAGGTAACACTAACACAATTTAAAGTACTATAAAAGTTGAATGATTCCATTTTTCTCCCCCAAATGATCCCATTGGCCATCAGTGACCATTTTAAAGATTTATGATTGAAATTATTATATAAATGTCATCTTACATTTCTTTTTTTTAATCATTTTATTAGGGGCTCATACAACTCTTATCACAATCCATACACATATCAATTGTGTAAAGCACACTTTTACCTTCATTGCCCTCATCATTCTCAAAACATTTGCTTTCTACCTAAGCCCCTGGTATCAGCTTCTCACTTTTTCCCCTCCCTCCCCGCTCCCCACTCCCTCATGAACCCTTGATAATTTATAGATTATTATTTTGTCATATCTTACCCTGTCCAATGTCTCCCTTCACCCACTTTTCTGTTGTCTGTCCCCCAGGGAGGAGGTCACATGTAGATCCTTGTAATTGGTTCCCCGTTTCCAACCCACCCTCCCTCTAACCATCTTACATTTCTATAGCAAACCTTGATGCCTTTTTTATAGCCCATTACAAAGTTTATGTGCTGGAGAACTAGATGATTGTGTAAATTTATTTAACCTAAGATTTCTCTATGAGGAGCCCTGGTGGTATAGTGGATGTGCCAGTGGCTGCTAACCTCGAGGTCAGCAGTTTGAAACCACCTTTCTGAGGGAGAAAGACAGAAAACGACAGGTGCGGTTCTCCCCTGCCCCAGAGGTTCACCTTGAGTTGGAGTGAACTCAGTGGCAGTGAGAGATCGCTAGATATGTCCCTTTTACTAAAAACAGATGGCTTGTGATATGAGTAAAGTACTTATTTGCTAACATTATTTTAGTACATACATGCTTGGAATATAGATACATACAGTATATACATAAAGAACATAAAGTTTGATTTGGCTGTGCACTGACAGCATCATATCATTGATACACGCTCTTTAGGTTTTTAGGATTTAATGTATTTGTTGTAATCTTTTTAGGTACAGAAATCGTGAAGCCATACACACCTGTATCTGACTCCTTACTCACAGAGGCCCAGGAACCAGCTCGTAGCAATAATAAATACATCTACTTTTTGATCAAAATCTATCCTGCTGGACTCTTCACACCACAGCTTGATCAGCTTCAGACTGGTAATTATTTTTGTGCCTTTTTTTTAACCTCACCTGTGCTCTAGATTGGCCCAGCAGCTGCCATGCTGCTCTTTAGTCATTTCTACACACGTGACTTTGAAATACCTTAAACTCAGCATTCCCACAACCAGCATTGTCCCATCCAACCTATTGTTCTTCTTGTATTTTCAATCTTTATTATTTTTGCAGCCTCACTGTTCATCCTTGACGAGTCTAAACACTTGTGTCATTTTTGCATCTTCCCACTTATTCCCTTCAAATCCAGTTAACCCCTAAATTCTGTGGAGTCTGCACCCTATTGACTTTTCATTTCTCCTCTCTTCTGCCACCCTCCAAGATGAAATCTTCATTATTTCTTTCTTGATCATTAACTAGTTTCTCAGTCGTAATGCCTTGCTATCTTCTTCTAGTTCCTTCTCCAAACTTCCATGAGAATAGATTTAAGCCTGTTTTCCCACATTTTGCAATCTCTAATGGGTCACATTAATTGTACTGTTTAAAGTTTTGACATGGTATAAAAAGACCATGACTCTCCAGTTGCATTCATTCATTCATTCATTCATTCATTCATTCGTAGTAAACACAAAACACTTGTGCTGCTCAAGTTCTGTAAGTTTGTCATGCTTGTTCATAAACCTATGCATTTGCCTCACCTAGGATGCCCATCAACCTTTTTAAAGTCCCAAGTCAATTCTCACTTCTTTATGAGCCCCCCACCCCCTAACACTTTCTCTGTATTTCTTTTATAAGAATAAATGCATTCCTTCAAGATATGGATTTAAGGGCAGGGGTTGTCTTGTGTATCTGTCGCCTTGCATGGCACTTAGCACATAATAGACGCAAATGTTCTTTAAAGAGAAAATAAAAGAACTATGATGAAATGTGTTAATACTTCTATTCATTTTTCCCTGCCATCCACATTTCAGCACCTTTGTCCAATGGGAGAAAGTGTGCTTCCCTTTTTGCAGGGCAGCATTCATAGTAAAAGTGAAGTAGATCACCAACATGTAAATATGCTGCTTTGTGAAAGTTAAATATATACAGATAATTAATGTGATTGTATCTTTGGTTACAGAAACTGAAGTATTGTGGGGGAAGCCAGCAGCCCCCCACAACTAATCACGGGTTCAGTAAGCACAATTGTATGGTTGAGAAATATAAAGATTATTGTAAAGTCAAAGAGAATAATAGGAGAGAATAAAATAAAGAACTCAGACACATTTCGTGTTAGCCTGCTCATCTCCTAGATGGCCATGATTTGAACAGCCAGGTCTGCGCAGAGAGCAGGAGAGAGAGCAATTTATTGCTAACCAAGGCTTATATATCTTTGGGGCTGTGCATGCCTCCTAATTACAGGTAAAGGCATATATCACAGGAAAGGGTTGTACAATAGGCAATACAAGTAATAGGTGGGGGATATACCATGGGCATAAGCGTAACAGGAAGGGGGTGAGCTCGGGGTGTACACATAATAGGAAGGGGAGAGGCTAAAGGTATACATGTGACAGGAAGGGTGGACCCTAGATTCATGATGGCAGCCTAACCTTGGCCACCCTTGAGTGGGCCGACCTCCCTGGGTTCTCCTACAGGGAAACAATCTACTACTATCCTTATCAGAAGGGAGTGGGCCCTACTTAGGGTGGGACAGACTATACAGTCTGACTGCTCTAGATGGCTGATAATCCTTAGGGAGAATAACCTCTGACCTACTTTCGTTGACCTCCAAGTGCAGTCATTTGCCACGTGTAGCAAGCAGCTAGGCTGGGCCTATATTTGTGGAAGACAACTTGGGAGAAATCTTTCTGTTTCCAACAAAGTATTGTATATCAATATAAACCTAAAGAATGTGACTCCACATTTCTGGAAATGTATTGAACTGTGGTGGTTTGCATGTTGCTGTGCTGGCTAGAAGCTGTGCTGCTGGTATTCCAAATAGTTGCAGAAGAAGACATTAGGAAGAGGCAGTCCACTTCTGAAAAATGAGTCAGTACAAACTTTAGGACTAGGAGCAGAACCTGGTCTGATATACTGCCACAAGATGAGCCCTCAGATTGGAAGGCTCTTGAAATATAGTTGGGAAAGAGCTTCCTCCTAAAGCAAAATCACAACCTTAATGACATGGAAAAGCCTTTTGGATCTTCATTTACTTGTGGAGCATGATTCAAACTTCCAGGAGACTGCTGCAGCTATCCATAGTAAATGGAACATGGAATATACAAAGTATGATCTAGGAATATTAGAAATTGTCAAAAATGAATGGAATATATAAAGGTTCATATCCTAAGCATTAGTGAACTGAAATGGACTAGTATTTGCTATTATGTATTAAATAATTAATGTGGTTTACCATCCCAGGAATGATAATTTGAAAAGAATGATGTTATCGTTCATCATAAAAAGAACAGTTAAAGATCTATCTTATGAAGTTCAGTGTAATCCTATGGTAGGAGAATATATAACATATACAATCAAGTATAAGCCGAGTTTTTTCAGCACTGTTTTAATGCAGTTTTTGTGGTAAAATTAGGTGCCTCTGCGGATATTCCGGTCGGCGTATATTCGAGTATGTACAGTTAATGCCTTCAAGGAAAGACAGTTAATATAATTTATAATTCAAATTTATGCTTCAACTACTAATGTCAATTAGGGAGAAATGAAACAATTCTATCAACTTCTTCAGTTTGAAATTAATAAAAAAAATAAAGATGCATTGATAATAACTGATGATTGGAATACAAAAGTTGGAAACTGGGCTTTGGTGATAAAAATAAAGCTGGAGATCACGAGATAGATTTTCCAAGACCAGCAATTCATTGCAAATACCCTTAACAACAAAAATAGCAGCAATACACATGAATCTCACCAAATGGAATAGACAATAACCAAATTGACTATATCTGTGGGAACAGTTGATGGAGAGCCTCAATATCAGCCAAAAGAAGGCCAGGGCCAACTGTGATACAGACCATCAATTGGTCATATTCAAGATTAAGTTAAAACTGAAGAAAATTAAAACCAGTCTCTGGAAGCCAAAATACAATCTTGAGTATATCTCATCTGAATTTAGAGACTATCTCAAGAAGAGATTTGATACATTGAACACTTATAACCAAAAACCAGACAAGTTATAGGGTGACATCAAGAACATAAGACACAAAGAAAGCAATGGGTCATTAAAAAGACAGAAAATAAAGACCCAAAGAAAGAGTTTAGAGGGGGTGGGAGGAAGAGCTGATGCCAAGGGCTCAAGTAGAAAGAAAATGTTTTGGAAATGATGATGGCAACATATGTACAAATGTGCTTGACACAATGGATGGATGGATGTATTGTGATAAGAGCTGTATAAGCCCCCAGTAAAATGATTTTTAAAAAGAGATTATGAAACTTGCTTTTGAACATAGACTAGCTGAGACGAAGGGAAGAATTGATGAACAGCTGAACAGAAAATTTCAAAGAGAAAAGCTGTAGGAGGCAGAGTAACATGCTGCTTTGTATAGTTATATAATCATTTGGAGTTAGAAAACCCAAACTGTAGTAGAACATGCCGAACATATCTCAAGCTGAAGGAGAACTCCAAACCTGAAGTTGTAATCTTGAATAATTTTATGGACAAAATATTGAATGGTACAAGAAATATCAAAATAAGATCTAAGGAATACACAGCATCACTGTACCAAAAAGAACTGAATAGTATTCAACCATTTCAGGAGGTAGCATATGATCAGAACTGATGGTACTGAAGGAAGAAGTTCAAGCTGCAATAAAGACTTTGATTAAAAACCCAAACAAAAAGAACAATGTTCCAGATACGAACATAATGCAAACTGAAATGTTTCAACAAATTGATGAAGCACTGGAAACTGTCTACGCCAAAAAATTTAGAAGGCAGCTGCCTGGCCACCCGACTGGGAGAGTTCATTATCTGTGCTCATTTCAAAGATGGTAATCCCACACAATATGGACATTATTGAAAAATATCATTCATATCACATACAAGTAACATTCCTTGGAGATAATTTAAAAATAGTTGCTGCAGCACATTGACAGAGAGGTGTCAGATATTCAAGCCAGTTAGAAAAGGATGTGGAAAAAAGGATATTGCTGACTTCTGATGGATTTTGGCTGAAAGCAAAGAATATCAAAAATACTGGCATAGGTACATATATTTATAAGGTAACACACTGAGGAAATGGATGAACTTTGGGCCTCTGCTCAAGCCCTCCCTCAATGCAAGAACACTTTGCTCTAATAACTGGGCATTCTGTGATGCTCACCCCCCCTAGCATGATCGTTGAAGGCAAAATGTGTGTGCAAGCAAATGTGGTGAAGAGAGCCGATGGTGCCCTGCTATCAGAAGATAGAGCATCTGGGGTCTTACAGGCTTGTGGTTAAACAAACGGGCATCTAGCTTAGAAGCAACAAAGCCCACATGGAAGAAGCACACCAGCCTGTGTGATCATGAGGTGTCGAAGGGATCAGGTAAGGCATCGAAAGACCTAAAACAATGAAACATTGTTGAGAACAAGACGGGTCAGATCAGAGACCCAAAACCCATCTATAGACAATGGGATATCCCCTCACAGAAGGATCACAAGGAGGGACGAGTCAACCAGGGTGAAGAAGAGCCCCCAATAAAAGTATTTAAAAAACAAGCAAACAGAATATTCCTCTGCTTCCTTGAGGCTTCCCCACCCTCCACTACTGTGACCCCAATCCTGCCTTTCACTGAGGGCTAAGCTGGAGCATGTACACAGGTACAGATAAGAGCTTAGGACACATGGAATCCAGTCAGATAAATCCCTCGGAACAGAAATGGGAGTAATGATACCAGGAGGTTAGGAGGAGGGCGGGTGGGAGGTGGGGGTGGAAACCGTGGGGGGAGGCAGTGGGTGGTGTAAGATATGAAAATAATTTATAATTTATCAAGGGGTCACCAGGGCAGGGAGAGGGTAAACTGATAACCAAGGCCTCAAATAGAATATAAATGTTTAGAAAATAATGATGGCAACATATGTACAAATATGCTTGACACAATTGATGTATAGATTGTTGTAAGAGGCCCCAATAAAATGACCTTTTAAAAAAAAGAAAGAAAAATAGATTTCGTGTGCTTTATTGACTGTGCAAAGGTATTTGACTGTGTGGATCACAACAAACTGCATTAACATTGGGAAATGGGAATTCCAGAGCACTTCATTTTGCTTATGTGGAACCTCTATATCGACCAAAGAGGCAGTCGTTTGAACAGAGCAAGGAGATGCTGTATGGTTTAAAGTAAGGTGTGTGTCAGGGCTGTATCCTTTCACCTTATTTATTCATTGTGTTTGTTGAGCAAACCACCCGAGAAGCATCAGGATTACAGGATTAGAGGAGGGCTCATTAGCGATCTGTGATATGCAGATGGAAACCTTGCTGCTGAAAGAAAAGAGATGAAGCACTTGCTGATGAAGATCAAAAACTAGTTTATAATACAGATTACAACTCAATGTAAAGAAAAGCATACTTAAGCCTGGAAAACTGACATTTTGCCAATTTGGGTTATAATTCCATTTGTGGAAGGATAATCATCCATACTAACCTTAGGAATGGTGATGGTGGCTTTAATCAGAATACTAATGAGAGTTGTTTCTATGCTCATTTTATTTATGTATTTCACAATAACATATCACTGCTTCATGAATCTTTATCACTGTTAGCAAAGTGATCAGCCGTTGGGTTCATGGTTTCAAGCAACCAAAGCCCCTGATTTAGTTTGGAAATCTGTCTATCTGACTGTTTTAAACATTTAATCACACATTGACCATTGGCACGTGAATATCTGAGGCTAATAACATGAGCATTTTATATGCTGTAACATTGTATGGTTCATACTACTACTGATAAATGTACTCCCCCCCATCCCCAAACAAATACTTTTATTTATTTTTAGTAATTTTATTGGGGACTCATACAACTCTTATCACAATCCATACATACATCAATTGTATGAAGCACAATGAGGGTACATTCGCTACCCTCATCATTCTCAAAACATTTGCTCTCCACCTAAGCCCCTGGTATCAGCTCATTTTGTCCCCTCCCTCCCCGCTCCCTCCTCTCTCGTGAACCCTTAATAATTTATAAATTATTATTTTGTCTACATAAATACTTTTAAATTCAGTTACTATACCTTGAATATGTTGTAAATTGGGAGCTATCTGGATAACCTATTTATAAAGATTTTTCACCAGAGCAGATGAAAAATTAGCCTAGCGCCAACAGAAAAGTGGGTCAAGGGTGACAGAGAATGACGTAAGATATGAAAATAATAATCTATAATTTATTGAGGGTTCGTGAGGGAGGGGGGAATGAGGAGCTGGTAACAAGGGCTCAAGTAGAAAGAAAAATGTTTTGAAAATGATGAT